TTAAATAAAAAATAAATAAAAATAAAAATTAGCAGTGTTTATACAAACATCAAATTCATAATGTTGGACAAATTAACACAACTGTTCCATTTACTGTGTGAACTGTTTTAGGGGTCGACTGTATGATATAGTCATTCTCCCCGCTTGCTGCTGGGTGCAGGTTGAAAAGTAGGCGATAGTTCTTATCTTATCTCTGCAGGTATGCAACAAACATGACGCTGTCACCAGTCTATGGTTGTCACACAACGGCAAGCTGGACAGACCGGAAACCGGAAGTCAGCTAAATAAAGCTATGCACAGTGCTTGCATACTTGTATTGATCTCTATAAATGCATATCTGCATGTGAATGCAGAGATAAACTATCCTCGTCAGACTTCTGGGTTCCAGGATTTAACTTTTACAGCATATCCTCGTGTCTTTCTATTTTGAAATATGTTCTTTAACTTCCGGTCCACCGGACTGCCTTTACTTCATTCTTCAATACAAACGGAAAATTGAATGAAGTTTGTTATCAAAAACCAAAATCAGACCGTTTTTTTTTAATTAGGTCTCTTGTTATCCTGTTTTTTGATTCAGACAACATAAACAGGAAAACGGCTTTGGTTTCCCGTTTTTTTCGTTTTTGATTTAAAACGAAACAAGGCTGGTATTTTCGTTTTTTGGTTTCAAACGTTAAATCAAACTAACAAAACGTACAGACTTTTTTTGGTCAGGTTTTCTCGTTATCCGTGTTTTATTCAGACAACAACAACGGAAAAACGGCTTTGGTTTTCCGTTTTTTTCGTTTTAAATCAAAAACGAAAAAACGGAAAAAGGCTGGTATTTTCGTTTTTTGGCTTTTGGTTTAAACGAAAATCAAACTGACAAAAAGTACACGGACCGAGGGACGATTAGTTCATAACCGATCACAGTGTTTTTTGTTTACATATGATAGGGACCATGAATATATTATGTTTAAATGTAATAAAACCACTATTATTCTAAATATATTCGTGCTCATTAATAGTTAACTTTTATTCTCACAGCTCCCATGTGATCCAGTGACTCCAAATCCGTTAGCAGATATCAGACACATCTCTTTTTCATTTTTGGCCCAAAGTCTATTTGATTTGAACAAAAAAAAAACACACTTTTTGTATTTAGACTATCTTTCCGAAAGCTATAATCTTGTGCCCCATAGACTCCAAATCAATGCTGGGATTAATATGGTAAGGTTTTTATTGCATAGGCTATTGCTTACACATTTACTGCATGGGTGAATGTATAGTTTTGTATGCTTCAGTTGCTAGTTTCGAAAATGGATAGTTTATTAAATTGACCAGATTGCTCCCACCTCAAACAGGAAAACACTCACTAATTGTTGTACCTTGAGAATGATTAGATTAGATACCCTAAAGGTTTGATACAAAATAATAAGAAAAGCTTCACATGTGGCAAAAAGTGTAAAGTGTTTTACTATATGAACAATTATGAAACTCCTGACAGGCCGACTGACTGCTAACGAGGAAACGCATAGGACACACTCCGCCATCTAGTGGACGTTTTATGAGTGTGTTCACATGCAATAAAAAGTTACATTTATCTGTTTGACCTGTAGTGTTGGAATTTAACAAAGTACATTTCCTCAACTTGGGGGCAAAATCAACCAAAACCAGATAGACCAGAGAGACCAGAAAGCTGTTTACATGACTTGACATTCATACATTTTCTTTTCTGTTCTGCCTTATAATAATAGAAAACAGGACAAACAATTAATATTTGTTCCAGAACAAAATCGCCACCTGGTAGAACCAGTGCTGCTCTATTTTCAATATACAATATGCCCAAGGCCCAACAAGATACTCTGACACTTTTGAATGTTCGCCAATCTAATTAGAATTACTGCTCCACTTTCTTGCTTGTCTGCTGCTACCGTGTGTGTTTTTTCAAGGGTGTTAATTGTAACGGGATAAGGTTGTACAGTGTCATGCCCAATAATTAAAATAGGCAGTCAACACATATCATGACTACAATGTTCTGGATGTGAGAGTCAAATAGAGAGTGTGAGATGAAGATGATGTTACATTGGTAAAAATGGAACTGGGACAAGAGATAAACAGCTGGAGCTTTGTACTGGAAGGTTACAAAAGGTTGGTAGAGTATGTAGTCAGCTGGGTATAGCACGATGCTTGTTTTAGCATCCTATGCAGTGTATTTTCTATCTGAGGTGCCATATGTACATTTTTAGCATTGGATCTTATGATCTTTGAGGACTAATAAGGTACACTATTGTGTCATGACATTTCATCAATGTTTACTGTGGGTTTCAATTCAGAAAGTCAGTTTGAAATGTATCAAATAAAGGCTTTTAGGACACGTTTTAATCATACATGCTTCTAGGGATGGCTCTGGTGATCAATTGGCTCGTCCCTTTCGTCCATCTGTGCAATTGTACAAATATATTTCCTTGACGTATTGGTACAGAAATTCATGGTGCCCAGGGGATGAATCTGATGTTCTCCTAATTTTTACACTAATACCTAATATAGTTTAGAGTGATATATCCCTTATCTTTGGGTGTATGACCATGCATGCACTTTGTTGTAGAAATAGTATTTGCATCTCTAATGATTGCCTGACTACTCTTCTAGTGCCATCCTTAGGTCAACATTTTCAATTTTCTATCAAATAAATAAATTGTAATAATACTGTGCGCTACACAGATATATGCTTACTTGACTTAAAGACTCTAGGCATGTTTCTCCCTAGTTAATTTGTGTTTTTCTATTCCCTTGTGCTGTTCTCAAAGGTCATACAGCATGTTCAGAGTACTCAACAACATCAACACATTGAGTTGTGTGTGTGTGTGTGTGTGTGTGGTGTGTGTGTGTGTGGGTGTGTGTGGTGTGTTGTGTGTGTGTGTGTGTGTGTGTGTGTGTGTGTGTGTGGTGTGTGTGTGTTGTGTGTATGCCAGAGAATGCTGGCTTCAGTTGCTTCACTAATAAAATATAATTAAATATAACCTTGAGTGTCAGTTCATGTGCTTTTGATATACAAAGTGCTGATTGTACAATGTCCCCATTGGGATTTTATAAGATTTGAATGTAAGGGCTGACCTATGATGTAGTGCTTGAAGAAAATAACGCCTCACACCTCAGTGTGCAACTAGTACAGTACGTGAGCTTTGTCACATATCACTCTATGAATGGTGTCACTCAAAGCCACCATTGTTGAGCACACATGTTTGGGTGTGCGTGTCAGTCATTATTGCTTAATAATAGTACATTATTTTTGTTTTACTGAGGGACAGGGGTGGGCAGTGACATCCACATGCGGAGCAGCAGGAATCAAACCCTGTATGTTGCGGTACAATTACGTATTCTTTACCACCTACATTATAACCCAGCATCTCACTACATGTTCAAATAGCTAAAGCACTATAATAGATACTAGTACAATGATAACACTATAGTGTGTTGCATTTACAACTATGGTCAACATAAAGCAAAAATAGTGGTTGTGAATTATATTCCATTTCAGTATTAAACATTAGAACTACATTGAGTTGAGTCTCTTAAATTATTTCATTTGAATGATACAGCATTTTAATTTGGTACCAAATTAGGTCAGTTGTGTGCTGAGTTATTATTTTGTTATATATATATATGCAACGTAATGCGTAATGGTTCACTATGTGATGTGTGCTGCAGTAGCATTTCCATTGCACAGTGCCAAGGAAAATGTACTACTGAGCAGTGGAGAGCGAACGTGTGGTGGTAACATTAGAGTACCGTAGAGATTAAGAGGCGTAACAAGCACATGGTGTGAAGGGTGGAGAAATGGCTTAGTATGGAGTTGTCAACAAAGTGTAGGCCAGGGGCCGGCTCCAAGTCCTGACGCTGGAGGAGCGTCATGTGTAGAAGTAAAGAACATAGAACTGTTTGGATCACAGATTTCTTCTTCAGTGCATCTGCAATGGCGTGTGTGTAACTCTAACAGTGCAGTGGCAGACTCCAGTGGTAAATCAAAGCTCACAATTTAAAGCTTTGATAACAGATTCAGTATTGTATGCTTTGTCAACAGTGGGTTGATGGATCTAAAGTTATCTAAAGATAATTAAGTCTTTTTTTTTTATTAAGTATGAATGACAGGCTCTGTTATGTTTCTATTTTTTTTCAAAACTAAATTAATTTTGATGTTTTTTTTAAATCGCTTCCCTGTTACTAACAAAAAACAACATTGGCCATTAAATATATATAAAAAAAGAGTTTTGCCCATTTTATACTAATGCACCAGTGATTACAATGGTCTGGCCTCCTAGAAGCAATTATATGCATTTTTTCTTGTTGTTCTGAGTTTGTATCTTTATGGGGGGTTTTGCACTAATTGTAAGTAGCTTTTATAAAAGCTACATGAAATGTATTGTTATGTAATATGCTGTGTAATGTAATCGTGATGTGATTGGAAATATTGGCTCTGTGTGCTACAGTTCTGTGGTTTCCTGTTGGTTTTCTGGGGGCCGGTCTCAGTCCCCCTCCATATTGGGTCATGGAGAATGTGACGTTAGACTCCATTACTCCTTATCGGCACCTGACCCTCCGCGTCACACTGAGCTTCCAATATGAAAGGCGTGTGATTATTTTCCGAATGAGACCGCGTGCGCATAGTAGACTGGGAGTATATAGCCTCCATAGAGGTTATTTTCCTCATTCAACTGCAAGCAATAGCTGAGAGCACACAGAGAGCCTTGCTGGAGGTTTGTTGCTCCTCTTCCCATATAACATGCAGGTAAGAAGACCTTCATTTATACCTGGTGTACATGTCTTTATTAATTGTATGACTTATCTGACTTTCACTAAAAAGTGTGCCAATAAATTGTCATGATTTTTTGGGGTGGGAAATATATATTTTTGAAATTAGTTATTTATTATACGTTTGTATACATTTATTGAAAGTTATGCTTATTGAAAACCTAAAAAAATGAATGTCTCCAAGTGATTTAAGGTGTTTTGAAAGACTACTAGTGTGCTTGTTCGATAAGTTGTGAGCAAGTTATGTTCATGTGGCAGAAATAAGAACATAAGGCTTTAAGTGGGATCATACAGTGCCTTCCAAAGTCTTAACACCTGTTTAAGCTATGAGTGGCCCGCCATGTTGCATGAGAAGTCAGAGACAGTAAAGCAGTCAGACAAAAAACTAAGTCTCATCACAACACAGGAAAGAATCAAGTTTATTTTAGCTTTTTCTGTGCCATTCTCCAGTTTAATGTTTTCATCTAAGCTGCAACAACCACTGCGCTCTGTACTCTGCAGGCGGCACCCTGTGCCTGGGGAGCCAGTATCCATGCAGCATCGCTGTTAACAAGTCTGAACCTCCAAAGAGAACAAGGTCAGTTCTGTGATGTCGTGCTCAGACCAAAACAGGACCCGGGTGAACTCTACCCGGCACACAGGTGAGCAACATAAACAGACAAACAAACACATCATGGCAAAACATATTATAAATTCATGTTATTTTGGATGTTATATGTCCAGATGTTCATGATTTTATGCAGCATTACACAAATCCTTATTCTTTGCGCCCCCAGGTGTGTCCTGGCAGCTTCTAGTCCAGTGTTGGCTTCTATCTTGCTCTCTACTGGCGCCCTGGTGGAACTGCAGGCTCTGTGTCTGTCTGACTCCGTACTGCCACTTCTTTACACTTCATTTATACCGGGGATCTGCCATACTCTCGCAGCCAGCACCAGCATCACAACCTGCTCACTGCTGCCTGCTACCTTCAGATGGATGGTCTGCAGGAGGCTCTAAAGGCTAGGCAACAGACTGAGGCAGAAGCCGGAAATAATGCAAATGTATCCACTGGAACCCTTATTAAGTATCTGCCAGAGGATCATCCGTATTCAGCCAATGTGGGCACATGCAATGACATAGATCCATGTAGAAGTAGCAGTAACAATGGTACAAATCACTGTAGCAGAAACAATACAAGCTCTTTGAGGAAGGTAAATACCTGTCATAGTATATATGAAAGCACTGAGAGCAGTGTCAACACAGGCAACTGCAGACAAGAACCTCAGGATTTGAGTCTAAGTATCCCTTGCATAGTTGAAGTGCTTCGGGAGTCAGGAGACGACAAAGAGGTGCAAAAGGATCAGTTTCATTCAGGTCATTCAGCTGGCTCTGTAAAGCCAAAGCCATGGCATGGGAGCACAGATGGGGAGCTAGAGAGGACAGTTGAGGACAGGAGGAGGTCGAATAAACTCTGCACTTCTGAGGAGAAAGAGGAGGAGACAAGTAGAAAAGAGAAGAAACAGGGACTGTGTTTGACATTTCCAAGTAAAGCAGAAGACACGCAAACTAACAGAAAAGAAGACACAACTCAGATACGTCACTCTCCCCTGCTTCATTTCTCAACCTCCCATCTTAAGGACAACGTTTCGCCCTCACAGTGCTCCTCATCATCCTCTTCCTCATCACCACCTCCATGCTCTGGGTGTGTGCCTGTTATCCGTCACAGCAGTCGAGCAGCTATGCTCCAGCTGGAAGAAGAGGCACCAATGCCCCCTTACCATCTAGTATTCCAGGCCTCAGCCGGCTCCAGCAGGGCCCCTTACTCTCGGTCAGGAAGCACAGACAGTGACAACATCGATGAGGGTATTACCTCCACACACGGGAATCTTCATGGGGCACAAAATCAGGCTTACATAAACAATAAAGACCACATTGGGGCACAGAGTTGGGATTACAAGGAAACTTCAGATCAGTCTGACACCCTCAAACAGGATTACAACATTAGCAATACATATCATTTAACAGGACAGAATAGTGAACAGATGAGCATTACAGATCCTAATGATCCTCATTGTGTTTCAGTTAATACAAAATACATTAAACGTATTAGGGATGATTCACAGAACATGGATTGCAGCAATTTCACCAGAGAGTTAAAGTATAACATGTGTGATACTTTCGAGGATTTCCCCTCCAAACATCAGCGAATGGATTGCTCTGATTACCAAAATGTCTGGATGGCCAATGCAGCAGAGGAACAATCCATTCAGTCACAAGATCTGAGGAATAAAGTCCCACTTCCTGTACTGGACTCAGACACAGGAAGTGATTCCCTCTGGGAAGATGTGTGTACCCAGGAAGATGTGAACGAGGAACACAGTCAGGAGGAATGTGAGACAGTCAACAGAAACACAGCCAAGATGGACAAGAGATACAATGTCCTTCAGCTTGTCTCCCGGACACATCAATCATGTTTGGATGATGTCACTGGCGGTCTCTCCAGCTTTGATTGTCCCACATCTGTAGAACCACAAAATATGCGAGGCATTGATATCAAAGAGCCGCCCTTCACCTTAACAATGCCTGCTGCTCAGAACATGTCTGACCCAACATACAGTGTTGTGGGGCCTTCATACCATGGACACCTTGAGTATCACTGCCTACCAGAGGAGGAAAGACACTTATCACACCAATACTCTGCTCGCAAACACTCCCACCATCCCGATCATTCATACCCGTCCAGTGATGAGGAGGAGGCTGGGACTTTTGCCAGTCAAGGCTACAAGTCTCTGAGGCAGCACTTTGCAACAAGGACTACTGACCAGATTCTACTGCTAGACATTAGCGCCAAACCTGCCGAGTTCCTATTTGCTAATGCATTACGCCAAAAGGAAACATTTGGAAACGGGTTTAGGAAGAATAATAGAGAGCAATTAAGTGAAGCAACATCTGTAGCAGGTGTTGACTCTAAATATTGGGCTGGAGAAACAAGTGTTAAAAAAAGTAAATCTGTTGGTAAAGACCGAAGCAGGCCAAAGATTGAGGTTATACATAAATCTGCGGTTGAAAAGAGGGTTTCCAAACATAAAGATGGTGATAACAAGACTCCTGCCATAACAATTTGCTCACCTCCTAATGGGCAAGACTCGATGTCATCAATATTGTCTGTCTGTATACCTTCTTCCCGGTCAGCCAGTATGCCAACAACTATATCTGCTCGAGTATCTAACCCTGTTCAGCACCCTTTCCAGTGCTCTCTGTGCGAGCGCTCCTTCAGTCAGCGCGGCTCACTAAACAGACATGTGCGGAGCCACCTTGGAGTCCGGCCCTTCCCCTGCCCCCGCTGCCCTATGACTTTTTCCCGCCAGTACCGTGTCACAGAGCACATGCGTGTTCACCAGCGCTGTGTCCTCCTGAGTGACTTTTGAAGGCACCCTGCTTCTTAGAGGACAGGCCTCAAAAGGGAAATGTCTTTTCCTGTATGTAGGCCCGTATGGAGCCCACACTTTTACTTATACTTATTTTGCAAATGTAAGGATATCTTTGCCCTCCAAAGGCTAACGATGAGAGTAAACAGTGGTCATGTGCAGTGAAATAACATTGTTCATACTAAGTAATGGGAAAAGGGGAATTTAAAATACTTTTTGACACAACATGTCATGTTATGAAGAACAACCAATCTCAACCAGCAGATAAATGCAGTAAATATCAGTCATTTGTAAATATGGAGGAGCACCTTCACTTTAGTGCAGGGCTACCCAGAGGTTTAAGATCGAGTGTCCAGTTTTTACTCTATATTAATTTATGAGCACCTTTGCTAAAATGTCACACGATCATTAATATCCTCTGATCTCGTGTCTGGAAGAGCTAAGGGTGTATGGTTAGCTGGCTATGTTCGCTGAGCGACATCAGAACCTGCATCAGCACCCTTGAATATGGAACAAGAGTAGCCGTCCAACGCATGACTGACATGCCTTGCCTTTTTCATAACCAGGCGATAAAATACAGGCCCCGTGTTTGGCCCCAGGAGTGATGTGTAGACCGGTTCTTTTCAAAGTATCATGCACTTTGAGTTGGTACATCAAATCAAATAAAATCAAATCAAGTTTTATTTATATAGCACATTTATAAACGATTTTTGGTCGAGCCAAAGTGCGGTACATAAAATAAAAATAGCCTACAGTAGAGACACTTTACAGCAAATACAACAGCACAGATTGTTACATGGAAATATATCGAACCTTTACAGTTCTTTCTGCATAATCTGACGTTGGTTTTTCTGTGACAGTCCGCGACAGTACATTCATGTTTGTCTGCTAGTGTTCCCGACCCATAAAAGTTATCTTCAATGCATAACTGTTAGAACATTATTTGTTTGTCCATTATTACACTGTCAATATCCCAAAGATAGCTGCTAGATTGTGACCATAGCAGGTACAGAGCAATTTCTCTGCAATGCGAAAACAATGTTACAATGTGAGTGAGTGTGTGTGTGTGTGTGTGTGTGTGTGTGTGTGTGTGTGTGTGTGTGTGTGTGTGTGTGTGTGTGTGTGTGTGTGTGTGTGTGTGTGTGTGTGTGTGTGTGTGGTGTGTGTGTGTGTGTGAGTAGGTAGGTGGTAGTGCATGTGATTACAATAGTTTACGATATGTTATCCTGTTTTTGCCAACTTTTTATCTTTTGTCAATGCTAATTATTTATCAGATTTACATTACATTTACATTTGACTTTGAGTTCAACAGTGTGTGTATTTACATTGCACTATGTTGTAATTAATCATGAGGTTTTGTTTTATAGACAGCTACTATTTATTTATAACTTACAGGTTGAAAAGTTACAAAGCCTTTTGTTATTGCGTGTCACATGCGTCTTGAATGTAACTCATACTCCCTGTTTACACCAAGTGGAGGATGTCAGACCTATTACCTAATTCTCCTTCAGATTTTGCATTTTATGCAGGTCCTTTTAACCTTTGTTTCATGGGAGCCAAAGTGTGTGTAATACAGAAGGGATTCTTACTGTTCATATATTTCATCGGTGTGTCTGATGAATGTGTCTTTATGATAAATGGTGTTTGGTTTTACAAAAAAGCTACATACACTATCTAATGTCGCTGCAACATTATGAACGTTTTATGGCATGTATGTTTTATGTGTTAATTTATTCTGTATTTAAACTGTGAAATACTCATTTTCTGATATGCGGACATTAATAATTGTTTATGCTTCTAACCCTAGTGTACACACACTCTTAAAACATATATATATATATATATATATATATATATATATATATATATATATATTATATGTAACATATATAAAGAGATTTTCATTTGTTTTGGTGAAATTAACCATTATTTAAATGAAAATGAAAATGTTTTAAGCAAACTTAAAGTGACAGCTACACAGGAAGGGTACAGACAATTTATGATTTGAATCACACTTGCCTTCATATAACTTAATTTATGAGTGTAATGTCTTACATGCTGTCCTCTGTAAGTGCTGACTGGGGGTACTTAAAGCTGCTGCTGCTGAAACGTGAGCTGACATTGTGAGAAACATCGTCAAGGACAGCCTTGTGGTTCTGTGCAGCTTCTGTCTTGTTCATGCCAAAATCTTCTGTAAGGGATGTGTTAAGATAATTAAAAAAATAGAGAACAGTTTACAAGTGGCGACATGTTTATGGCTTGAGTTGTTGACATACATTTTCATTTTCAGATGTTACCACTGTGTTGTTGTTTGAATAAAAACTCTCTCTATAAACTTGACATCTCTTTGTGTTACTCTCTGGTAACAATGCAATCCTATAGCTGCCAAACATGAATAAATACTCACTTTCTATTGAGCCGTCATGTCTGCGGCTCTAAAATGATTAAGCATTAATGAAGAATTAAGGTTTCAATCAAAGACTTTTAAACCTTTGCTTCTGTGAGAAACCTTGAATAGTGATAAGTATGCAATACTTTTTCTAATATGATGAGTCTTTTTTTTTAATATATACACTATTAGAATTTCTGAAATATTTGGATACAAAGCATATAAAGTCATGTTGGAGAAGAATAACAGCTTCTCAACACAAAATATGTTCTAAATAATGGCATACAACTGATACATCAAGTATCAGTAAATGGTCTATAAACCATTGATAAAGATAACTAGACACATCATATCAAATGTGGTACAAATGAGCAAATATTGACCATTGATTTATGTGTTTTTTGAGAAACTAAAACAGCCCACACAAACTTTCTTTAACCATCTCAGAGAGACATTGGTTTGACTCAGACCTTTGTCCTGTGGCATACAAGTGCAAATACAATGTGCTGACAGGCAGAACCCAGAGTTAGTATCAGTTAATTGCCTGAGCAGTGAAAGTAAAACATCAATGCTATCACCCTGTTGAATCTGGTGGCAAATGTTCAAACAAATGAAATACAATGCTCACAGGGTGGTGGAAGTAGTAATATATCACACAAATACATATACTCACATGTCTGTATTTCATTCTATATAGCCAACAAAGAATTAGAAATGCTATTTTGCAATCGTAAATCCTATTGTGCAGTTCTTATTGCTTCTCTCTGACATGTATCCTGCTTCAGACGTTCCTCTTATTCTTGTTATTCCACTGGTGCTTCAGCCTGTGCAGCAGTCATCACTATCATAGCCTAAAGAGAAGAGAAAGAAGAGAACTGTAACGGTGGCCTACTCATGTTGGGGCAATTCTGTTTAGGCTCATTAAATATTGTAAGACATTCTCAGCACAGTGTGTAATGTGTACAAAAGTACTTCTAATGTATTTTCTTTTTACCTCACTCTTTGTGGAACGCAGGGCGGACACGGCCAGACATGACATTACTATCAAAGTCACTGCACCCACAATACTGTAGAACAGGAAGATTATGTCCACATACAGTTCCATGTCCTGGAAAAAGCACACGTACACACATGAGAAACACATTAAGAAACACACAACTGAATCAAGTTGCGCACCAGATTAAAATGCATTAAATCTTAAAATGTTTACACATTTATAGCAATATAGATGTGTGTGTGTAGTGCTAGATCGTATACCTCCTGGGTTTTAGGCAGCGGAAGTGACGTAATCGTGGATGAGAAGTCGGCAACTTTTGTATTAAAAGTTTAATGTTTACCCTAAATAGAGGAGAGTTCCGCTCACGCACGTCTTGTCACAAATATGAGGTTCATTAATGAATAATGAGATCATACTCTCTATAACAACATTAAAATGTGTGAAATATACTTACATTTCAATAATAATGGTTTGATTATTAAATAATAACTTACAGTTCTTATTTGTGTTGCATTTGTGGCAGTGCTTGAATTGGAATGAAAAAGGTGCCAGTACTCTAAAATCAGCAACTTTTTCAAGTCAATTTTATATATACAGCCCACAAACAAGAATTTGGCTACTATAATGCTGGTGGGTTTGTCTCTTTACTACTGTATATTTTAGAAAGGTTCACTGTACTTAACATTTTTTATGATAGGCAGCGGATATGGCTAAAGCTCAGTAAGGTCAATATTAACTGAAAATATAGCAATCAAAGTCTAGATCTTCTGCTGAAGACACATGAAGCAGAGACCTTTCAGGTGAGAGCCCCTCTGGTGGTGTTCAACATTAATGACAAGGAAACAAAGCTCTGGTCAGAAGCATTTTTTATAAAAAGCTTTAACAAAATTAAGTATTTCTGTACATTTTGAATGCAATCTAACTTTCCAACTCAGAAAACGAAAAAGTGCCAAAAGTCTTCTCACATGGCTGAGCTGCTTTGCAATATACTTCACCACTGAAGAATACAAATATGTATAAAGTAAACTATGATGCAATCTAACTTTCCAACTCAGAAAAATGATAAAGAGCATGAACAAAGAACATGTAAAAACAAATGCAAAATTTGCACAATCTAAAATGAGAAACTGTAACTGCAAGTAACAAAGTCTGAGCCATGGTAAAGAGTTACATTGAACACCAAGCTGATCAGATAACTCCCTGGTTGGTCTGAAGTCCTTCTATCTCCAGGATCTGTACAAATCGGCACATTATGCCAAAAGTCTTCTCACTGGGTGAGCTGCTTTGCAATATACTTCACATTGTTAGAAAAGGCTCCAGAAGGCCTTGGGGACATCAGTATCAGGGGCTGGAGCTGGACAGGCTCTTTCATCAGCACTTCTCCTTCCCTTTGCCAGCCAGGACCTCACATACTGTTCCGGATTGAACTGTCCTAGTGATGGTCCATTACATTTAATGAAAACCAGGCTGGACAGTCGGCTGACAGAGAGAGCATTCCTTTTTGCAGTAAGGATATCGTTCATGCAGCTGAATGCCCGCTCACACTCACTAGTGGAGACAGCGATGGTTCGGACTGCTTTCAGTAGAGGCTCCATGGCAGCAGGTGTACGGGATGCCCTGGTTTCCTTGTATTCGCGAAAGCCCTGAACAGTCTCTCTTCTGTCCACTTTCAGCACTTCGCACAAACGTAGCACCTCTACGTCCCCATACTGTACGTCTAACTCCTCTTCAGGCCAACTTCCAGGATGGATAACTTTCATGTCCTGGATTAGCTGATTGTCCCGGGCCTCCCGGCCATGTAATGGGATTTCTCTTGTGCTGACATGAGAGGAGGTTGTGGAAGTCATTCTGTGTCTCAGATTCTCTACCATACTGCGGAAAAACTGACCTGCATGAATCTGTACAAGCCTGCCATTCTCACGCAGGGCAACACCCTAGAAGGACTTCTCAGCTAGAGCTGTATGAACTGTAGTCATGTGTGGGCCAGGCATGGTGACCATGGATTCAAAAACTCGTATTTCTCGAGTTAAGAGCCTATCTGCTGTAGGCAGTGTCATCTCTCTTTTTTGGAGTTGCCGAGAGAGGTCGCTGAGCTCTGTGAGCGCATCGTACATCAGTCCCAGATTGCTGACAAACGTTGCAGATGTGAGCACATCATCCAGGCCCTTGTACTTTGCTCTGTCTCTGGAATCCCTGCTCGTGTCGTTTGCAGCATTTGTGAAGTGATCATGAAGCACTCGGTAGTTTTCCCAGACTGCTCTGACGCTCCTTTCACTTGAAGCCACCCAGCGGATGGACAAAACACGCCCTATCACCAGGAGACGCTGTCCGACTGCTTGCGCACACTGCGCTAACTGCCTCTGATTTTTGGGGGAGGCATGGAACAAGGAATAGAGTTTGTCAAAAAAGATCTGGAAATGATTGAGCCCTGAGACCTCCTTGACCACATCCCCAACTGCCAGCTCTAGACGATGATTGGAGCAGTGCCACACAAACAGGCTTGGGAATTTACTACACAACTGGGTAGCAACGCCTGTTCTCTTCCCTAGCATGACTGAAGCCCCATCACATGCAAAAGAAACGAAACACTGACCTAAAAAGTCCTCGTTAAAATCTCTTCCAAGACACTCCATTAACGCCTTTGTGATGTCATCAGCCGTTGTTCCATCCAACTCGATCAGCTCCCAAAAAAACGTTTCGGGCTCAGCATCAGCTAATGCTGAGCGTAGACACACAACAAGCACCGTTTTACCACTAATAGTGGTAGATTCATCGACCAAAACACAGAGTTTTCTTTGGTTTTCTGTAATGTCTTTTGCCATTTTTTTCTTCAGCTCATGAGCTATGTGGTCGATGATTTCGCCACAGGTTTTATTGGAGTGCAAAACCCTGCCCACGTTCAGCCCATTCAGTTTCTGTACATTCAAATCAATTGGCATGTCTGTGAATGGCCCGCTATGTTTGCCAATTGTATATGCCGTTCGAAAAACTCTGATAGTGGTGTCTAATTCAGATTTATGCATAGACTGCACTTGATGTTGAATAGTTTCACGTGAAGCAGATGTAAGGATGTCAGCAGCTTTTACATGGGCTTGTGATTCTTTATGTTCTTTGATTTTTTTTCTCAGGCTAGCTTGTTGTTTGCCCTTGTCAACACCGAAATGAGACACTGCACACTCACCCCATTCAGTTGACAGTTTCAGTCCTTGTCCAGTGTGTATTCCCAAAGATTTGACATCTCTGCATATCCGACATCCTAGCTTCTTATCTTTAAGAAGGAGCCATGCATTGGTCTTGCAAAAATATTGCACCTGGTCCGTTGTCCAGCAGTCAGGTGCATCGCTTTGCCCGGTGTTGGTGGTGGCAGTTGCGCCAGCAGCAGCTAACGTTAGAGGCTCTGGAGGAGGCGGCGGAGCTAGTGCTAATGCTAATGCACTAGAACTTGGAGCAGGAGGATCAACCAAAGAAAGCT